TCTCAGGGATCCAAGCAGAAAGGGGGTCTTCTTCATCTATCTTAAGCTATAACAAAAAGTTTACATATTCACGTACAATATATTATACCAGAGGCGTGGTACTGACATGATCGTCGGAGTGCTAACTCCGGCATCAGCCCGGCTTTCCTTTCCCTGCAGATCCTCCGTCATAGCAGGAAGGACAGCTCATCAACTACGGTGTTCTGGAACGGATCAATTGGCGCCGTCTGTGGGAAATCGAGACAAAAAAGTACACTCAGCTATCATACCAACTCCTTTCATGACGTCGACATCGGAGGTAGCTCGTAACTTATCAAGCTTGCTGGAGGGGGAGCTAACCCCCCTCCCAGGCCTCACGAGCAATCAAGAAACCACGGCAGGCGGGCCGTCGGAGGAACCCACTCCAGGTGTCGCCAGCACTACACTGGAAAAAACGGGTACCACTATAACCCTCACAATGGAACACCTCCAGGCGTTGATCTCGGCCGTAGCCCAGAGTAAACCTCCTGAGGTCGGAGGAGGGGGCAACATGGAAAAGCGAAAGCCGGAGTCGCAGCCAGGGATGTCGGCGATAGACGACGAGCTCCTAATGCTGCCGTCAACCGAAAGTGAGGGAATGGCGGGCACCCCCTTCACGTCAAGGTTGCAACACGGGGAACTGCCAGCCACCTATCGACCCGTCACGTATGAATATACCGGAGCCACCGACCCTTGGGAGCACGTCTCTCGGTTCGTCACGTCCGCTTCTCTTCACAGGCTAACGGACGGGGTAAAGTGCAGGGTCTTCGCAACTACCCTCGCAGGCCCCGCGCAGAGATGGTTCAGCCAGTTACCCCAAGGCTCGGTCGATGGCTTTACCCAGTTTAGCGAGTTGTTCCTAAACCACTTCGCGAGCTCCAAGAAGCAGAAAAGGAGCACGCTCACCCTGTTCGCAGTACGGCAAAGGGAAGGCGAACCGTTAAGGAACTACGTGCAAAGATTTAATGCTGCCACCCTCGAGGTGCCTGTCACTAGTGAAGAGGTGCTTATCAATGCGCTAGCCCAGGGTCTACAAATGGGCGAGTTCTTCGACTCCCTTTCCAAGAAGGCACCGGCCTCTTTCAATGACCCTGCTCCGGAGAGCCGAAAAGTATATTAACGCAGAGGAGGCCCGCCGCAGCAGGACTTCGGAGCCGGCCCCGACAAATGACAAACGTAGGGACAAAAATCGAGTTGAAGTAAAGAAGCAAGAACCCTTCTCGCGCAGAGAAGTGGGCACAGAGCGACGAACGGGACCCCGATTTGAAAACTACGCACCCTTAAGTACCGCCCCCTCAGAGATCCTGACAGCCATCGTAAACCATCCGAAACTGAAGTGGCCGCGCACCTATTCGGAAACGCCAAAAAAGCCTGTCAGTGCTGGACCTTATTGCCGCTTCCACAATGAGCATGGGCATTCCACCGACGAATGTCAGCATTTGAGGGATGAAATCGAAAGGCTTATCAGGACAAAGAACCTCTCGGAGTTCGTTGAAAGCGGTCCAGGGGCCACTGCCAAATACCCGCGGAAAGGGGGGAACGGCGGTGCACAAGCTCCCAACAGGCAGGGAAAAGACGCCGACCTTCAGCCGCCAAACAACTACATTCACACCATCTTCGGGGGCCCCGCCGGGGGAGATTCGAATAGGTCCCGCAGGGCCCACCTGCGAGAACTGCAGGAGTTAAGAGGGGAGCTCGCAATGATGTACAGGGTATCCGTTGCCCCGCCTATCACCTTTGGGGTAGAAGATGAGACAGGAATACAGCAGCCGCATAATGATGCCCTAGTAATCACGGCCATGGTAGCAAACTACGACGTGGCAAGGATACTGGTGGACACGGGCAGTTCGGCTGATATAATATATTACGAATGTTTCAGGCAAATGCGGTTGAACTTTGAGGTAAGGAAGGTGGATACGGCCCTTATAGGATTCGCCGGGGAGGTGGTGCAGCCGATGGGAGAGGTAACCCTGCCGGTATCGCTGGGAACCGACCCCTTAAAGGCGACGCGAGCGGTAAGGTTTCTAATCATCGACGCCCCGTCTACTTACAACATGATAATGGGACGGCCCTCGATGAACGCATTTGAAGCGGTTGTGTCCACGTTTCACATGAAGATGAAATTCCCAGTCCTTGATCGAGTAGGGGAGGTTCGGGGAGACCAGGAGACGTCTAGGAGGTGCTACAATCAGGCCCTCAGAGGGCAACGACGCATTAACCCTGTAGGATGGGATAAAGGGAACCTGAGACCGGGGAGCGATGACATTGGGAGAGCCGAGGAAAAAAGGCCTCGGCTAGACCCGGAAGAAAAGGAAGAGGCCCATGTCCAACCGATGGAAGAACTAAAAGTAATTCAGCTGGACGTAAATGACCCCACCCGCACTACCAGGATAGGAACCACGCTTAACGAGGAAATGAGGGAGGAATTAACAACCTTTTTACGCAACAATCAGGACGTATTCGCATGGTCCCCCAAGGACCTGAGGGGAATCGACCCCGCGGTGATGGTCCATGAGCTAAACTTGAGGCCGGGAGTGAGCCCGGTTAAGCAGAAGAGAAGGCATTTCGGGCCCGAAAAGGATAAAATTATCGAGGGAGAAGTACGGAAGCTACTAGAGGCCGGGCATATCAGAGAAATAAAGTTCCCGACCTGGCTGTCCAACGCGGTGCTTGTCAAAAAAGCTGAAGGAAAATGGAGAATGTGCATAGATTTCAGGGATCTAAACCGGGCTTGCCCCAAGGATCATTACCCGCTCCCGAGGATTGACCAATTGGTAGACTCCACGGCGGGATGCGCAATGCTGAGTATGATGGATGCCTCGCAAGGCTACCACCAGATACGACTGAATGAGGGAGATCAGTCGAATGTAAGTTTTGTTACATCCACAGGAACATATTGTTATGTCGTAATGCCGTTTGGCCTCAAGAATGCCGGAGCAACTTATCAGAGGCTGGTGGATAGAATGTTCCGCGGGCAGTTAGGACGGAACATGGAGGTGTATGTGGATGACATGCTGGTCAAACGTGAGGAGGCCGGGAATCATATCCAAGACCTGAGAGAAACATTCGGCACACTCCGACGATACGGCATGAAGCTTAACCCACTCAAATGCGCCTTCGGAGTGGAGGCATGAAAGTTCTTAGGTTATATGGTAACCAAGAAAGGGGTCGAGGCGAACCCGGAGAAAATACGCGCGGTGATGGATATGCGTCCGCCCCGGAGCATAAAGGAGGTACAGATGCTAGCAGGAAGAATTACTGCGCTGAGTCGTTTTATCTCTCGGGCTGCCGACACGAGCTACCCGTTTTTCAAGATCTTGCGGAAGGGGCATCTGTTTGAATGGGGCCCCGAGGCCGATCGCGCCTTCGAACAGCTGAAGGAGACACTAGCCCGCTTGCCCCTACTCGCGAAACCAAGAGTAGGGGAGAAACTTTATGTGTACTTAGCCGCCGGGGAGCAAGCTGTGAGCGCTGTACTCTTAAGCGAACGCGAGGGAGTACAATGTCCCGTCTACTACGTGAGTCGAGTGCTCAAGGGAGCCGAGAGAAGGTACGCAGAGATCGAAAAGATGGGGCTGGCCCTCGTTCTTACTGCTCGGAAGTTAAGACCGTACTTCCTATCACATTCAGTAGTAGTAAGAACTAATTTCCCTCTAAAAAATACGTTGGGCCGGATGGATGTGTCAGGCCGGATGGTTAAATGGGCGGTTGAGTTGGGCCAGTTCGATATTGAATACGAGCCCCGCGCGGCCATTAAAGGCCAGGCGCTAGCCGAGTTCCTGCAAGAAACAATACGAGGAGAACAGGAAGCCGAGTGGAAGGCCTTTATAGATGGGTCGTCAAACCAGTCCGGAAGCGGAGCAGGGATCATGCTGATAAGTCCCACGGGTGAAGAATACGAGTACGCAGTCAGATTGGCCTTTCGGGCCTCAAATAACGAGGCGGAGTATGAAGCCCTCATATATGCCCTCCAGCTAGCCGCAGAAGCAGGGGCAAGCTGTCTAGAGGTATATTCGGACTCCCAGCTGGTGGTCCAGCAGATGAAAGGGATATTCGAGACAAAGGATGAAAGGATGGGAGACTACTGCAACAAAGCAAGGAAACTGTCTGCCGGTTTCCGTAGGATAATCCTCGAACAAATCCCAAGAAACGAGAATGAGAGAGCCGACTTCTTAGCCAAGGTCGGAAGCTTATCTACCGAGTGTGAGAGCAGGAAAATAACTATTCTCCAGGGTCATCCCCGGGAGTGCGAGGAGGTGATTGTAGCGAGCGCGGTAGATGATTGGCGCACTGATATTATTCGATGTCTCGAGGGGCACGAGCTGCCCTGCCGACGCGAGCAGGATAAGTTGGTGGCAAGAAGTAGAGGGTTCTGCTTAGAGCGAGGTTCGCTGTACAAGAGGGGGTTCACGAGACCCCATTTAAAATGCCTAGGCAGGGCCGAGGGATTACGCGCGATCAGAGAGGTACACGAGGGCTGCTGTGGAGACCATGCAGGGGGAAGAATGCTGGCCATGCGGCTGCTGAGGGCAGGGTATTTCTGGCCCACCATGCGGAAAGATTCGATCCAGTTTGTTAAGGCCTGTGATAAGTGTCAGAGATATGGACCTCGGATACGCGTGCCGGGAGAAGAGATGACTATAGTGGACGCCCCTCGCCCTTTCCTACGATGGGGAATAGACATCGTCGGGCCATTGCCCATAGCAACCGGACAAAGGAAGTTTTTGGTAGTCGCCATTGACTACTTCTCCAAGTGGGTCGAAGCGGAGGCTGTAGCCAGGATCACGGACACGGAAATCATGAAATTTATCTGGCAAAATATATGTTGTCGGTATGGGATTCCGAGGGACCTCGTCTCGGATAACGGCACCCAATTCAATTCAGCAAAGATAACGAAATGGTGCAGCGGCTTGGGGATAGGTCAGAGGTTTGCAGCAGTGGCCCACCCGCAAGCGAACGGGCAGGTGGAGGTAACAAACAGAATCCTGATGGAGGGTATCAAAAAGCGATTAGAGAAGTCGAAAGGCAATTGGGTAGAGGAGCTACACTCGGTCTTATGGGCACACCGGACGTCGCCAAAAGAAGCAACAGGAGAAACCCCGTTCTCTCTTGTTCATGGTTCCGAGGCGGTGATACCACTTGAGATCGGCCTCCCGTCTAGTCGAATGCGAGGACACAGTGACATCATAAACGACGAGGGGTTGAGAATGGAGTTGGATCTGATCATGGAAAGAAGGGAACAAGCCGTGATCCGGATGGAAGCTAACAAGGCAAGAATCAAGAATGCGTACGACAAAAAAGTGAGGAAAAGAATATTCCAGGTAGGAGATCTGGTGCTCAAACAGGCAGACGCTTTGAAAGCTGTAGGGAAGATGGAACCCAACTGGGAGGGGCCATATATAATAAAAAAAGGTGTTGAAAGGAGGGGCATACGAACTGGCAAACGAAGAAGGGAGGAGGCTTCCACGACCATGGAACATAGGACATTTTAAAAAATATTTCACGTAAAGCATCGACGTATTTTTGCTCCTGAAAGATGTGCAAGGACTAAGTAACCTAGACTTTTGTAAACCGCGGGTATAAGAAAAACCCCTGTCCGTTTTTGTCTCTTAGAAAGAATGTTCATTAAGTTCTCCCCCCAGGGGGGAGCCCAAGTACTTACGATTTTTCTGCCAAAATCGTAACCGAGGATCTTTTGAAAACACTCGACGAGCTCGAGCTCCGAGTAAAACGAAATGAAGAATTAAAACTTGTAAACACAAGTACTTACGATTTTTCTGCCAAAATCGTAACCGAGGATCTTTTGAAACACTCGACGAGCTCGAGCTCCGAGTAAAACGAAATGAAGAATTAAAACGTTGTAAACACTAAGTACTTACGATTTTTCTGACAAAATCGTAAGCCGAGGATCTTTTGAAAACACTCGACGAGCTCAGCTCCGGTGCCAGCTAGTAGTCGACAGGGCCCCGGGCCTTTCTTTTTTTTTTTCTTCTTCTTTTTTTTTTTG